CTAGAGACTGGCCACTGGAAAGCAAGATTGAGAGGAAATCTTTGCTACAAGCAAAAATTTCAGCTACATCTTGCGTGCTTGGTAGTCGGCATAGCAAAGCATGTGCCGGACTTAGACAAAGCACTGAATTAGACCGAGTCTTGTGGCGCCAAATCGGCGCCCAAACACAAAAATCATATAAATAGCATGTAACTCTAGCCTTCACACTTAAACACAACCTACTACTGAATAATTCACTCTTCCTTCTGTTCTGTCCTCTCTGGTAGCTTTCTTATTCTCCAAGGTGAGTTGTTTTTCTGTAGAATTCTCCACTAGTTGAAAGCAGGTTCACTGTTGTTTGCCCTTGATGAAAAAGCAAGTGAGTGTACTAGAGTGTGTTGGTGAGTGGCAGTTAGCACATGCCTCCAGTAGTTTCTAGCTGGTACTTTCCAACTACCTTTAGTGTCTTTATTCTCATAAAAATTCAATTTACGCGTCTTCTTGAGCCGAGGCGCAGAATTATGCATTTTGACTTCACTTTAATCAGCCAGATCAAGGAAAATTGGTGTATCAGTATACGACACAACAGGGGTTTGATAGGTTTATCTCGATATCACAGTGCTCTGGCCAAGAAACAACAAGACAATTTTGTAAATACCTATACATCGCTTCCCCCGAAATGTATTGAATCTGTCCACGTTATCGTTAAGTGATTTTGATAATCCAATATCTTAGTTCCGACAATCGTGTTTGTTTGGTAATCACTAGTCACAGGATTTAACGTAYGTTTAGGCTGTCATTTCGGTCATAACAGAATTCGGCGTAGCAGTACAACATGGGAGAAATCGCGCTCGTAGTAAAATGGCTGGTGTTGAATGGAGTGACTCGTGGCATGATCAGTACAGCTGCCTGTGTGTTTGTGGAAAGCCTATTATAGAACCATTACAACTGTGTTAGACCATCATGGATGTCTTCATCATTTATGTATGGACTGTCACGCATTGGACAAAGCCACCTCCATTTGTAAAATTACGAGTATTTTTTCATTATAAGCACCAAGACAGAGCTCTTTCTCATATCACTAATACTTGCAGATGCACTCGCCTTAATTTTCGCAAACCGCTCGTCTAATTGTTGAGGGTTTTAGTGGTCGCGTTGAGGCAAATTTCATGTCACTCGTTTCAAGGTACATATTTGGTTGGTGGATTTGAGGCTTAACTAGCCGTAGACGTTGAAGAAGACATAGAATAATTTTTTTGGTTGGATAATTACCAATTACAAGATACGCATGGTTGTACGCCATTATCAGAGGGATATAGCTTCTTAGAGCTAGATCACTCTGTGGTGCTATGCTCACAGATAAAACTTGCCACCATCTGACAGCAACTTCTTTATAATATTGCAAAAGTAGGTTTACTCTGACTCAATTAGAGCGAAATAGGACCGGATAACCATAGTTATCAAAAATTAATATCCCCGCTAAAACCTTTCAATAAGAGAACAATAGTTCACAGTTTGCCAATGTCTTTTCCCAAAAAGATTCGCACTTCCAGAATAAGTTGGAAATTTTTCACACTTTTCGCAATTGTTTCCGTTTTAAAGTGATCAGAGAGTGTGAAATATTTACCTCCAAACACATATAGAACAAATAATTATTGATAGAAAATCAATGAATGAAAAGGTGAAAGCCATTGAAAATAGACGACAAACAATGAATTATTTAGCATTCTATTTAGGAATAAATTCTGGGGTGCAAACCACGACATTGCTGTATGTAGGCATGGGAGTGGAAGGCGGGTTCTGGCGCTACAAAACGAAATAGAAAGAGGTAAAAATTGTTTTTTCTGTTGGTTGCTTTGGCATCGGGTCTCTATCCTCACTATCCTGGTAGGTACAATCATCGTATCATCTTGTATCAAGCTTAGATCCAGAAATGTGATAATTATGCAATTATCGATTTTAGATACAATGATTGATAAGTACTGAAGGGAATCGACTTTAGGTCCCTTAAGCTCTATTAAAACCTTGCCAGAGCTGTGCATGCGAATCAGGTCCTTAGAGTTAATTCCAAGGTATTTCCGGTCCACGATCGGGATCTCATCGAGTTAACTAAGAGCATCTAGACCACTAGCCAGCCCGTCTTTGCTTTTCTTTACTTTGGTCTTGTTTAAGTTTTATTGCTAAGTAAATATATTGTCTTGCAAAGGAAAGGTGGCAACATAGTAAGGGTACAAGCTCGCTACATCATCGCTCTTGTCAAGCATTCAAAGGTACCGCCAGCCGACTGTTCGTCGCCAATCTGACCTTCCAAGAATTTCATATGAAGTAAAATAAAATGACCCACTCGCCTTTCACTCGAGCAGGAGGGGTGGTGGTTGATGGATTTACCGTTGAGGTTGTTTAAATTGAATTCAGCTCACCAGAAACCCATCTCTATCCCTACGCACGAGTATATTCCGTCGCAAGCAAGTGCGGTGGTAACTAGCTGGCTAAACTAGCTCGTTTATTAGTTCTCTTGTATTCATCGACAACAATAAAAAAGAAAGAAAGAAAGAGTTTCAGGTCACTWGAGCGAGTATTGATGGTGAAAATAAGAGATAAAGACCACAGATTTCTAGTTGTTGTTTGCCGGTGTTTGAGCACGCGAGCGTCTAATCGTCTACCTATGTTAGTACTCAAGAGGCTTGCCAACTCATCTGTAACCGATTTTCATGCTTCAAGCACGACCCTGGCTTTCCGAAATAATTTAATTTGTTCATTGATGTCTTCTTAAGTAACTCGGTTATTCATATAATGCATTTTTAGGGAAACGAGTCCAGTAATAAAGAGCATGTTAGAAATGAGGAGCGTTTTTTAAAAATCTCCCTAAGGCAAACACTGTTTTAAGACAAAGGAAAATACCGTTAAACGTATACTCTTAACTTAAACAAATTTCTGAAAATAAAACATGTTCTTACTCGCTCAGTTTTTTTGCACTGCTAAAAAACCGTTAACAAACGAGATAGGTTCATGTTCTTGTCTAGAGAGCCTTCCAATTTTGTACCTTTTATATTCTCATCAGTGTAAGAGTCTTTACTTTATAAAGAATGTAGCAGATCTTTTTTTACTATCCTGCTGGGAACGTGATGCCATTATTCTTTTGAAAAACGAAGCTCTTTCACTCAATAGCAAAGTAAACGGTTTTTTAGCTCGGCTTTACAACACTCGGATCCACTCGAGAGCGCGTTCCTTTACCAAAAGTACATTAATCTTCATAATTTATCTTGTCAGTTGACGATGAATTATTTCCTTTTTATAGATTGGATTCGTGCTGTAGTGAGAAATTAGAACAATTGTTCTGTTAAGCTTATTTTATTGAGTGTTTTTCCGAAGGCTAGAGGATTTATCTGCTACGCTATCTCTGACTTGAAGACATCCAATCTCCAACTTCATCTGAAACAACAAGGAAGCTTAATTAAATTCTTCAATTTTCGAAAGTTAATTTCAACAAAGTTAAAATAAAAAATGATCTTTAATCACAATATCATTGATGAAAGAACTCGAACGACGAATTCTCTTTGAAAAAGCAATCATTTAAACGATGTACGTTTTGAGTTTTATGCCCTCATTGAAAAACCTGAATCGACGGTTGTTGCACAACCTTCTCAGGAAGCCGGATTTATTATACTAGAAGCCGAAATAAGTTTTGGAAGACTAGAATTGACAAAACTGATAAGAAAGGTTTGACAATAAAATAGCTTGTTTGACTTGACTCCGTTCTTATCTTCAAAGCGAGTAGGGCTCTTTATTAAAATCCTTGATTTTTGAGCGTTCTTGTCATAAGAAAACTAAGTGATTGAAACAACCAAAGATGCTATCGATATTATCCTCAATTGTACAGCAAATTTGAAAATGATTTTTTCTAATTTTTAGAGTTTTATGGTGTTTACAAACAGATCTGTGTGGATATGATTCTCATCGATCCTAGTCTACTTCAGTTGTACTATCGGCATTTGGATATTCGAGAACTGACTTAGAAAATCTACTTCATTGTCATGCTAAACAGACTTTCGTCTACCGAAGGTATTTCCTAAGTTCTTATAAATACTAATTTGAGAAAAGCTTATGATATTCGCTTTATTTCAGCCTATTAACAAAAAGGACCGCATTTTCTGAGGTTTCGAGAGCCAGAAGTTTGCCCTTAATTACTTAATTATGTATTGTACTTCCGTACAAAAAGAAAGTACATTTTTTTGTATTTTTCGCAAAGTAGTTTACGCGGGTTTTTCTAAGTACATTACACGGTGACCACAACTTGGTGTTTCTAACTCTTGAGCTCGTCAGTCAAAGTGATTAAGTGAGCGAAGAATGAAAGATATAATTAGATGATCTTAAGAGTAAAAAAAAATCCATTTAGTGAGATCTATATAGAGAGCGCTCCTTCTGTACGGCCGTAGTTATCGGTTTTCTTTACAATGTTTTTTCAGGTGTTTACCGCTAATGAGAGAACATCCAGGTATTCCTTGGATTATGTCCTTCCGTAAGTTTTAAGAAATGCGAACCAGATGACCAAAGTTCTTAACAATAAAGACGAAATTATTGCGGTTGATCCTAAATATTTACTAATCTTTAAATAGCCGAGTCTCTCCTGAGCGGAATATCCTGGCTGGGGATTAAAAATCCATTTTTTATTTGCGCACCGTTCTTTTCTAGTTTGACTGTAATGGCTTTCCTGTAACACAAACCTCTTATGGAACATTTTTGTTACATTTCATCGGTCTTAATGACTCCCTCTAACAAAAAACAGACGTTTTAGCAAAATACCCAGTGACCAACCGTTTAACCCTGTTAAGCATCCGCTGGCACCGTCAGACAGGCCAAAATGATTTGCCTTAACCCGATCCTCAAACGGAGATGAAAACTCTCATCAATTTGACTTGTCATGAGGGTTGGAATCCTATTCTTGTATTAGCGGTTCTATTGTCTCCCTAAGTGTAAGGAGTTAATATATTTCGACTCATAAACTAATATAACAAAGTAGGTTTGGAAATTCTTTGGAAATTTGTGTGGTTTTTCAGTAAAAAGAACTAGGAACTGTTTTTCGTCAAACTAACAGTTAGACGTAAGCTATAAATGGATAATGGCGACAAATAGGCCTCCAACGTTGTGACTTCTACCTACCGCCGAGAAAGTACTCTCATATGGGAACTATTTCTCCTTGCAGAATAGGGATTTTAGATGCAGCTTGACAGATAGAAGCCATTGAGTTTTTCCCTGGTCGCTTTTCGCTTAAGATAACAATCTTGTGAAGAGCGTGATATCTAGGCCGATACTCATCCGTAGTTTTGTGATATTTACACCTTTAGAGGTGTTTCTTTGTTTTGAGAATGGAACCCAAACATAGTGTTTTCTTTTAGCACTGTAATTACTAAGCCGTGAAGAAGTCAGGAAGTTTAGAGTTAGGTTTTGTAATCAAAATATGAACTTGATCTTTGTATGTATTTGGCGTTTATCTGGATAGTAGTCGGGTTATCTTACGTATCAGTCTAGTAAAGCAAACTCTATTGTTGAATCATATTAGACAATTTGACGCAAGGCGAGTCTTGTACAAGCGATGGCGATCTTTAAAATGTTCCTCGAGAGCGTATATTTGAGTTAGATATACCCCCTGATATCAGATCAAAGCCTTAGCGGTTTCCTGTTTGAGAACTTTGCAAATTATCGCTCGCGTTCACAAGTCAGAAATATTTCGCCGTAGAAGTTTTGACGCCGAAATTGATCCCGAACTCTCGACGATTGCTTGTGTTTGGTGGGCGGTAGAGTTGAAAATAAACTAGCATTGATATTAATTTCCCCAAACAACTATACAATAGATTGCCATAAACAGTCTTGTGTTTTAATAGCAATAGCTCAATCTGCTATCACAGCGATTACATTGGGAGATTTCATCGCGAACGTGTACACAAAGTCTCCAGAATCGAAGTATCTAACTGATAACCCCTTCCTCTCCGGAGTTATCTCGCTCAGAAAACCTTGCATATGTGTTATTGGGGATTTAGTCTCCATGTGTAAGTAAGATATAGTTAGTTGATCGCTTCGATTGCTAGAGAAAGGGTCTTTGCACGGCTTGGTGCCTTTACCAGTACTTTCGTACAGTTTTCTACCATCGACACAGGCAAAAGACTACAGTCCCTTGTTCTTGAGATGACGTCAGCTTGCGGTGGCAAAGGCTGTTGCATTCTTGGCAATCTGTGCCCCGTATTCATTCACGAAGCAGCTATTCGACGCACCGGTAAATATAGCTAAATATATTTATTTTTTATTAAGTCAATTACAACGTCTTTTAAGCTCTAAGTAACTTCAAAGTTTCTTGATCAAATATACATTATGTGGTTTATGTTACTGGGTGAAAGCTAAAAGACTCGATTATTCCAATAGTCAAGCCAAGGCGTCTAATCGTATTTCGCACTTTAGTGCTAAGTCTTACCAAGTACCGTCATGAAAATCGTGTACTATCCGAGACGATTTAACTCAATTGCCAACCACTTGTTCTCCAAACCTCGACCATAAAAACGTTCGCGTTTGAATTTTTCATAAGGGGAAAACTTTCATTTTCTTCTTTAGAGACCTTTTTTGCCTAATTAATTGTTCCTTTAAGCAGGTTTTGTACACTGTTGTACATCAAGTTCAGGCTCACTGTAGGGGGTAGACCACTGACTTCGAATTTCAAACTTTTGTACAAAGAATTGTTATTTTGTTTGTTTGAGTTAAATGGACTGACTCCCTCCTGTCTGAGGGTCGGCTCGATTCGCTCTTCGCAAACTTCTATCTTAATTTGTTTCTATATGTTCAGTAATCCCGGTTAAAAATTCATGATCTTTCACTTCAGGGATAATCAAGTTATGATAAATCTCGAGAAGAATCGATCGGTAAATTGATTAAACTAAACTCCTAATAAAAACGGAATAACTTTTAAATTGACAAAAAGAAACTTCAGACTCATGGAATTGCTCACGAATTTGTTTCGTAATTCGTAAAAAACGTTTGGGAATCGCGAGGGGCGTGCGATAATATCTGTAATTTTTTGGACACGTGGGCTTTGACCGGGTCATACTTGGAAAACACTGGTGTCCTTCATGTTATAATTACACTATTACAGCTGGGTTCCTATTCTAATGAAGCACCCCGCTTGCTCAAGACTCAGAGCCATACGACTAACCTAAGAAGCCCTTAGGACCCGTAGAGATAGGTAGGAATGTTGTATTCTATTTGAAGCGCTTCAAGGTTTTGTCTGACTGTCAGTGGCGATCTTGTTATAAGTGTAAATTAGGCGATCAATTTACTCTTATCTAGCTCTCTTTGTGCTCTGTAAATGTAATCATGGTGATTAGGCTGATTACGTTTATTGCTTGTTTATGAACTTTTTGCTTCATCACGATCAAATAAGAATAAATATTTTTTTTAGTCTTAGTGCTTAGTTTTAAAGCATCACGATCGGATCGTCCGTCCGTGCACTTAGACTACACTTTCACCGCATCGGCCAGAGTCACCGCGGATTCTTCAATACTTCGAGTTGCTCCCATCTCACAATCTAGTTTAAACAGGTTGTCACGATCGCGTCGAAGTGTCTACTGAAAAAAATGCTGCTACGCAAATTAGTTATCGGGTCGAATACTCGAGAGTCAGATAACAGCGTATTCTTGTCATACTCTTGGTCAACGTCAGAGCGGCCTTCTGGTGTAAACGCGTGCCCACGCGCGGCAACACGAGCAGAACGATGGCAAACGAGTGTCGAAATTCTTCAAAGAGTTTAAGAAATTTTCTTTTGGAGCTAAATGTTTTTTTCTCTGTAACCATTAGGAAGATTACCTAAGATACGCAATTGGAAATGCGTGCATGGGCTTATCGAGGTTATCTCTGGCTATCGTTTGGTCACGTTCCACCTGTCGAACTATACATGGAACAAAATCAACCAAAACTATGTAGTGTTAGTAGAAATGGGTTCTAGTCGGTTTAAGGGTTGTTCTTCGGGGAAAGCCGGCGCGATGCTTGCCTTGAGGCCGATAGTCAGAAAAGTAAATAGACAACGCTTATGGTTGTCAAAGAAACACAATATATTGTTTTCGCTCAAGTGCTGTGAAGATCATCCACTGAACACTGTCAAAATCCTTAAGTTAGTAAATAGCTGGTCATACGCGAGTTGATTATCACGTCTAAAAATTGTATAATGATAACAAATACAATCGCTGTAAGTCAAAAAGGTTGATCTGTGTTTGATAACTAATGGACCTTTCGTCTCCTTTTTAAATTGGGAAACGGTTGAAATAGCTGATGCTCTGTGTTAGGATGGATCTGGGAATCTAGCGTGCTGTCTTGCCTTAGGATCACCGAGTTTTTCAAGAACCGTGCTGTTCCGCAATGAAGCAATCACGTGCATAGGAGATGTTACCTGTATCTTTGACGTGAGAAAATATCGGTACATGGCTCCCAACTGTTTGATTGACATCTTATTCTGGCGACTGAATTGATAGTTCGATTTATCCAACCAATGAAGCATTTAATGAAAGTGACAAGTAAAACGTAATGTCAGAATACTCGAGCGCTGATTGGCTGATTCATTGACCTGTCGCGCCTTAACAGGCAGGCTGGCGCCGACCTAGCGGGAACGAAAACTTTGGCTAGCTTGGCTTACCAAACCTTTCAAATAGTGTTTGAACATAACCAGACACCACTCTTAGACTTGCGCTGAGTGGGACTTATCCCACTATAACTAGTGTACGCCAGGGATCGTCGCGGTGTTCGCGTTGAAAACAACCAAGACTAGTCATTACCAAAGACAGTGAGTCTACTTTAGGTGTGAAATGGATAATTTTTTTAAATCGTTTATTTCTTCTATTTTTCCTTGGTTACCATTGTGTAGTAGAGCTAAGACGGGTATAGTTTAAATCGCGATAAGGCCTACCTTGTGTATAAGTTTTATAGTGTTTTTACATATGCGAATCTCTTATCTCAGCGCTATCACTCCTGCCGCACGGAGATCTCCTTTTAATGTCTTAGGAGCCCTGAAGAAATTCATATCTCTTTGAATGTGTCTTGTAGATTTGTCAAGGATAGTTATCTGATAAACTACGGAACTTCATTTTGCATGTTGAGCCATGAATGGGGACTTCCGTTCCATAATGTATGTTGTTCTCTGACGTCTTGCAGCCTACCCTGAAATTCCCATTGAGAATAATTTACGCTACAATTAAATTCCTTTCACCTATTATTTAGCAGTTATTGTTAGCAGCTGCATTAGCTCTTAAATACGCCACTGTCCTAAGGCTTCACAAACACTGAACACTCTCTCTGTTTTACTCACTTTAGGTATACCGTGCCTACCTATAGTTCCAATGGAAACAGTTAATTCCGAGCATCGTTGGATTCATCCTATCGTTAACGGACAGCACGAAAGTCCCCACGGATCGTCAAACAGCGAAAGAGGACAGTCGGCAAATTGCGCCAGTGGAAGCATAAATATCGTCGAACCTACTCAACTATTGCCTCCTGACGAGGTTGATGTATTTTTCCATCATCTCGACGGGTCGGGTAACGCAGCTAACTGGTCGTACACTTCTGGTCCTCGGTCTTACAGACCTTCGATGTGTCACCAAATGGCGGCACACGGACCTACAGCTTTCCAAGACCCACAAAACCAGCCCAGCACGCCAGGCAGTTGTAGTAGAGTATTTCTACCGACTGCGCGAGTGCCGAGCAGTCAAGTTTGCCGGCCACATTTCCACACTCCAATCCAGTGGATAGAAAGCAAGCCCTCTCCGCTACACTGTGCAACACCGAATCCAGCTTCTGTTTGGTGTCCTCCTTTCCAACAGAGTTATCGTCCAAATCCAGCGTCAGTCAGTGGATCGTCGTCTACTTCTGGCTCTCACTCCAGCAGCCATCTCTTCTCGTTTCCTCCAACACCACCGAAAGAAACAAGCTTAGAAGGAGGTACGCTATCCAGTGATTTCTTCAGCTACGGGAGTGATGACAAGAGACTAAAGGGACTTCAATACGGGACTCCACTAAGGGCCGACGTACCATCATTTCCAGGTTATCCTCAAGCTCTTCCACAATACTATGGTTCGGACCTTAATATGCCTTCTTTTGGGCCGGGGTTACCGGGAATAATGGCTAATAGAAACTTAACTCGACCCAGAACCAAGAGCCGTTCAAATTCAGGTTAGTGGAATGCGAGCCCCAGTGAATACGAATAAAATTTGTATAAAAAGATCATTTCCTTTATTCAATTATCACTGTTTCGCTTTCATTACTGCAGAAACAGTTTTCCTAAAAAGTTTAAATTGGCATAACTTTTGTTTCGGAATGAATTTTTGAATTATTTTAATGAACGTTTTGACTTGTACCAAAACATTTGGTTCTTTGAACGGCTTCTTTGTCAAAATTTGACTTTTTCTACGTTTGCTTTTTACTGTCCTTAACGGATACCCAAATCAAAATCAAAATGTCAAAAAAAAAAAACGTTTTACAGACGTTCGTAAATTTATGACGATCGAGGTTTTGAATTTTTTTTTGATTTGGTTTTGGCGTATTCAAACCTGGGGGTCACTTTCCTTTTCCTAACTAGAATGGTTTTCGGCCTTTTCATGTTCTAACTGTCGTCCATTTTAACACATCGTCATTAGGGAGATCCTCGCTTCACTAATAAAACAATAGCCTAATATAGTACTACGGTGTACGAAAAAGAAGTAATTAGAGAAACACTTGGATAACTCACATTTGACACATTAGATATTGTCTGAATATGTCTAGAATCGAATTTAGGGTTTTAGGACTAGCCATATTTGAGTCGTTGCTAGTTTTTTATACTTGTTTTTTTGTGTTTTTCCGACAGCAGATGGACGGGAGTGCATCAATTGTGGAGCAACGTCCACACCGTTATGGCGAAGAGATGGATCTGGACATTACTTGTGCAATGCTTGTGGCCTTTACCACAAAATGAATGGTTCAAGTCGTCCTCTAATCAAACCTAAGAGAAGATTGGTAAGTCATAGATAATGATATGGGGATATTTTCTTAACTCAGTGAGATACAAAAGACATCATATGTTGGATGAGATAGAAGTGAAACTTGATTTGGATCATACCACACCCGGTGGTAGATAGCACGCGCGAGTGTTGACAGAGCGACTTGAAACTTCAAGATTCTTTACAGCCGTTTTGAACATTAATCTGTTGAATGTTATTAGAAATCCTGACAACACGCTATTGAAAATAAAAAGTATACACCCTGGGAAATAAAATAATTGAAGCTACTTTGGTTATTGGGTTAAGAGTTTAATTGAATATACCGAAAGTGGTTAACACAATCAACCTTGGTCAAGGATTCCCGCAAACTAAAGCTCCATCAAGACCGTTTTATTTAAACCAAGCTGTGTTATCTATTAGAGTCTAAATACAAGTTGATGTTTTCATCTCATCCATCGCACCTCATTTCTCAAGCTTAGAGAGATTTATGGGGATCATATACTGAGTGTGGACATGTGAGCTTGCTTGCTTGATGTTATTTGAATTGCTTTGCTTGTGCTGATCAAATGATTCCTTTTTTTGTTTCGAATAGTCGGCCGCCCGCCGAGCCGGTACTTCTTGTGCTAATTGCCATACAACCCAAACGACCCTTTGGCGAAGGAACCAAAACGGAGACCCAGTTTGCAATGCTTGCGGATTATATTGGAAATTGCACGCTGTAAGTACTGGATTTTCACTCTGTCCGCTTTGTAGTTAAAGGATTTTTTTTTTTTTTGAATATAGGGGAAGTAAATGAGATGAAACTAATAGACAAAAGATTAGATACTACAAGATAAGCCCTGGCTATCGCCGCTAAATTATTAGTCTTAATGGGTCGCTCGCGATAAACAAATATAAGCCCCACAACAATTCGCTCCTTTTCTATTTGATTCGATATGTTTTCATAACAAGACAAAAAGTTGTTTAGTCATGATGCAGTCATGGCTAGAAGCGGCACAGCGTCGCACTTAAAATATCTCTGGAAATATTTATGAGAAAATAAATTATTTAAAGTACGTTTTTTGCCAGCACGTCAAGAAGTTTTGACTTGATCATTAAATTATGAGCAGCTGGAGTTTCTAAAGCCGTTATTTCGATCATAGGCTATTACAAAGTCTTTCCAATTAGGCCTTTACAATTTTGGGTGATTTAATCGCAATATCCGGACAGATTATTTTCACTAAAACCTTGTGTATTTGTACCATTTTTCCTTCCGTTTTACTACAGCAAAATAGTCTTTTGCGTGTGCCTGAGCACTTTAGCTCTATCTCAAATATTCATGTGATGGTCTTTGTACAAATAATTTTTCTCTTTTGTCCTTTTGTTTACCGTCTTAATTTCTTTTACACAATTCATAAAGAAAGCCCCTTCGTTTGCCAGCGACCAACACTGATAACCTAAAAACCATCGATAAAGTTTTGTGTGGTAATGATTCATTAGACATAAATGATTAATGTCGCTCGCGTTTTTCTTTGGCCCACGTGCCGTGAGATACTTTAGGCTGTTTTAACTGACATTATAGGGTTCAAATTAGCGGGAAGAGACTTGGATTTAGAGTCGTTTGGTTACTAAGATTATATTTGGTGATATTCACCTGTGTAACTAGAATTAGTCACTTCTATCGAATTAATAGTTTCCTTTGTATGTGTTGGAAAGTGGAAGACATGTTGCTTCCTCTTTCCTAATAAGCATTACAAGTGTCATGTTAGGTCTGTGTTAGTTTAAGAGACAAAAATGCCCAGCGTTTTTAAGTTCGAATCCTATCTGTTTGCTTTCCCAGGATTGCTAAGGCTTTGAGTTTGTTCTTTTGTCTTTTCGGTGTCAAAATGAAGTCTGACGGCCCTACTTTTCTCAAATAAAGTTTATAGAGAGACTTATTGATCAGATTAATATCGTTTTAACTAAGGCAAATACTAAGATATAAAACCTCTCTAGCTTTAATCCATTAGAACGAGGAAAAGTCCAAAACGGAAATTGCTACATCTTCAAAATCGTCCACGAAATACTGGAGGCGGAAGAGTTTTTCAATTATATTTTCATTAAGAAATGAAACATTTTACTCTTAGGCAAAACGTAAGAATAACACAGCTTCCATGCACCTGTGAATCAATTGTATTGTCTTATTATGCTGTTGATGTGTCGAAATCGTATTAGAAAGCCCAAAGGCCTTGGCTTTTGTTTAGCGCGAAAGTATCTAACAGCAACTCTCTCACACTGACAGATCGAGCGTGGGGTGGTAACTAAGAGGTTGCCATGAAACTTCAAAGGATATCGGAGAATTTCTTTGAAAGGTATTCACTATCGCTCTCAAAACTGTCTACCAAAACACAGAAAAGATAAATAAAATCGAAAATACTTTGTCTTTTTTCTGTTGTTTCCGAATCAAACCTTAAAGGTTCAAAACGTTCGAATGTACGGCTGTTTTGTGTCAATGAAAGCGATTATTCGCATCGTTTTTTTCGGTAAGGAATCGATTATAAACCCCTCGTTTTCCATTACTGAACACCGTGAGTTTTAAATGCGTAGAACATTCGAATATGAGCATCGTTGGCCTAGTTTAATCATAGTTTCCGTAGTGATCATTGTTGTGGGGTGAACATTGATTGAATTTCTTCTGGTAATGACAGTTTTACGATCGCAATTTGCAAAAGGAACGGCAGTTTACACTTCCTAATTGCTGTAATAAATTCAAGTGTTTAAACTCATCAATACTGACTGGTTTTTCCTTTCGTTTGATGGATTCTAGGTGAACAGACCACTGTCCATGAAAAAAGATGGCATTCAGACAAGAAATCGAAAAGTTTCCTCGAAGAGTAAAAATAAAAACAAGGGCGTCAAACAAGAACCCAAGCTCGGAGATGAAAATAGGATGGGGCTAAACTCTTCTAGTCCTCTAATGAACCAAACAAACGTGATTTCATCCAGTATTTTGAGTCCGATGGTCGGGCCAAACGGCATACATACCACAGCTTTTAGCAGGCCATCCATGCCGGGTCTACCGAGTATCCACCCGGGACTTTACAGCCCGATAGTACCGGCGAGTTCCACATCATCAAGTTACAATTCCTCGTTATCGATGAATTCGTCTTGAGCTGTGCTCACGATTTTGTGAGCTTCCAAATGAGATGCCGGCCAAGCAGAAAAGAGAAGATGTAATCCTTCGAGAAGTGAACATAGTTTGGCCAAGCCGCCTTCGACGAAATAGCGTCAAAAATTCTGCTTTGGAAAAAAGACAGTTTTGTCGACAGAAGTGTTTTACACTTTGCAAATACTAAAATTCGTAAGCTGAGGTCTTCATTTCTTTTTACATAGCTTATATTAAAAAAAAGACTTCCAAGATTTGTACACGAACTCTGACAATATTCAGAGAAGCGAGTCTACCAAGACAGCAGAAGTGAACGAGGACAACTGTGTCGCGTCCTTGACAATCTTTCTTAAATGAACGTTTAGGCGATAACAGGAGTATTTTACAGGCTCACTACACCGTTAAATATTGTAAAGTCATACATGATAAGATTGACCTGTTGTAAAATTTAACTTGGAAGGAGATAAATGTTTCTTTCCCCAAGATAAAATCCTGGTATTTGATTTCATGATATTTTTTTGTGTAATTAGTTTTATCGTGGAGACTCGTATATCACCCAAGCGTGTAAAGCACCGTTCGTTCGAAAAGATAGCGAGATTGTATATATCTATCTCTACATAAATCTTTATATATATATATCTATCTATATCAGAGAAACAGAGGATAGAGGTATTGATCAAAAAATGAGAAAAATAAATGAAAACATGAGAAAAAATATAAAAAAATGCAATGGAAGTCGTTCATTGCTGTTCTCAATAGAACTTAGAAATATAGCTTACAGTACATTCGTTCGTATCAGAGAATTATTTGATGTACACACAAAATGCGAGCAAGATTATTATGTATAAAGAAACTTTAGAGTTTTGTGTCTGATTCTCTAGCTGTAATTGTATACGATATTATAATGAAATAAAGAACCCTGAATCTTCAAAATTGAATTAGTGAGATTATATCCAAGTTGACTTTAACAGGTTTAATAAACGGAAAAGAGATTCCGAAAGTGGATTATTTGTCATGGAGAAACACGAGTTTTTACTCGGTCCTCGACGACATCTCTTCGAAAGGACAAATTTATTCTACCGTTCCCTGACTTAGAAAATAAAATAATAAATGCCTAACATTTAGGTTGCTATACACACACACACACATATATATAGCCTCATATCATGAGGCCCTGGATTAGTAGAGAAAATCTCAAAAAAAATGTGATATGATCTTCGCCTAAATAGAAAGGTTATCGGGCCTTTACTAAGAATCACTTGAAAAATCAGAATAAAGATCTATTCTCTTTTCAGACCAGTCACTCGCTGAGATGAATTAGTGCGATGATTGTAGGGATTACCTACGAATTGTACTATCGTTGAACTTTATATCCATCAAAATTATCAAACAATGCGATCGTAAATTTTCTTTAAACTAAGTTTGTTTCGGAGTATATCTATGCAGATGTTAGTCTTGTTATCAAGCACACCGCCGTAGTCAAAGTTCATTTTTTTTAGATCTTGGAGATCAAATTTTTAATAGCAAGAAATAAACTTTAATTTGCCTGACTGATGGGGTGGCGGGAAGGTAAAGTATGATCACAGTTCTTGATAATCTGTCATAATGTCCGTTTTTCAGTCTGAAACAATGTTTTTGGCAGGGTTTTTATTTTTGTACGTTTATTCTAAGTAAACATATAAGCTGTTGCTTCCCTGCATTTTACAATGAGAGATGAATTCACCATGGAAATTTCAAACCTTTTCACGAACATTTCATGTTTTTTTTATTGATCATGAATAATGCCCGAAGCCTGGCTGTTTTTAGAAGCAATTTCGACCCGTGGACTTTGACACATTGGTGCTTTTATCTTGGGTTTAATCGCTTGGATCGGGGGAATCCCTTTTTTCCCTCTCTTGGTTACTCGTCTCAATGTAGACTCAGAAATTCAAAAAGGAGTTTCACAAATGATTTAAGGAGTACACTATTGAATAGTAGTTTCTAAGAGCGGTCATCGACATTTTTCACCATTGGAGGTAAAACCTTAGTAACCCCTTTTTTGTTGTGTCAAAATACTAAAATGAGTTTAGCTAGTGAGACTCGACTGATTTGGATTGTATTATTTTCGATATTTTTTCTACCTATTAAAACTTCTAAACTGGCTGGTAGAAATCTTTGGGTAAGAGATCCAAATTTGAGCGTAAAAAAGGCTGTATTTCTCCGATCATTCCTTAACATACAGACATTGCGATCAAAGAGTAAAGGAGTTGAACGTTAACATGTATGAATCATGTATGGTTAAATATGTTGTTCATAAATGAATGTATTGTCTAATGGAGCCAAATTCTGGTTATGTTTAATGTCAAACGACTGAATGAATATTATCAATCAGCAAGAAGTGGAATGGGATAAAAATATAAAAAAATAGAACATTAAAATGGAAAACTATAGATGCCTTTTTTTTTTTTTTTTTTCAATTGCTTCTCTTTCGTAAATAAAGACATTACTTTTTATGTGTATATATGTGGATCATAACGAACCGAAAATAATTCAGGAATCCGTTGGATGAATATTAAAATCTATATTAGAGGTGTTATATTGGAGATGATTGTCATCGTAAGAATTGCTGGCAAATACGAGCCCTCATCTGTTATCACTGATTCGAAATAATTTTCCAGTTCAGTTTATCAGAGTTAACTCATGGTTAGTCAGCCCTTCATCTGCTTCTTCATATCAAACCCTCTGCAGCGATCTTATCGTTGTGTACTTCTCTTAAAAACCACAAAAAAAATCTTCAGTTTCTGAAAACCAAGACGCATCGATTGAGTTGGTTTTTGATTCTTGCCACCGCCCAAACGAGCACTTACGAAGTCTACTAAAAACACCGTTAAAAGCCTCTAAAATAGTCTCGAAATCTTACAATTAAATTTAAATACTAGATTAATAGGTTTTCTTGCACCCAAAACCGTGATCTATTTAAAATCATTACCAAGTATTTTAGAAGAGATAGGACAAAAAGCGCGCGAAAAAACAACAACATACATATACTGATATACACGCCAAATGTTAGTGGACTCAGCTGCCACGTTTGAAGTCACAGAGAAAGCAAGAAATTTTAGATGTTTGAAGAAATAACTACATGAAATGTATACTTGGAGGGAATATTAGATAACAATGTTCGGTGGTAATTAAAAAATAGAATTAAATTATGCCTTTACAAAAGTAAACGAGACGAGAATTGCGAAGAAAGATAAGTCAGTGTGAAGCTGTCTCAATAACAAAGCTTATGAATTCAGGCTTAAACTCAAACCTCCGAGGGACTCGAAAACCTATCTGAATTAGGATTAAAGTTAGAAGTTTTTAAATCTATTTTTCTGATGAAATTTTATCAGTAAACTTTGACTGGATGGAATGTCAGCTGCTCAGACTTTTATGCTTGAAGATTTGATCCTTGGAAAACTCTAATCAGTTTACGAGATAATATTAATTAGATTTTTTCTTTCTTTCTTTCTTTTTTTTTTTTTTTTTGTTCGCTTTTCCTTTCCTTTTTCTCTTTCTTTCTTTCTTTTTTTTTTCTTTTCCTTTCTTTTTTTTCTTTCTTTTTTTTCTTTTTTAATTTCATGTACAAATTTGAAATAATGAAAAATTTACACTCTTTTTGCTGTGGATTGAGAGTTTATTTGAATTGCATATTTGAGGATTGAGATAAGGATTTGAGGCTTTGTTGTATGCTACGTCCGTAAAATATTCGCTTTCTGTTCAGCGTTGGGTAAATATTAGAGAAAACCTACCCAGCACCTTCCGCTCTGCTCAATCAATGTTCTTATGTGTGAAATACGAGAAAGAATATGTCTGAGTGATCAAAGCTTTTAAGCTTATACAAATCTCATTTATTTTGTTCGTTTTGACCATATTTTCGAGAAGTAAACACGAGTCGTTGGTTCGATCGTGTTAGTCATAACTGCGCATGCTCAGACGAGTTTCCCCTGTTATCTCTAAGAAACCCAACTGAGTGGAAATGAATTGTCAACCGTCGGTACTACACTCGGCTACCATGTCCATCATATGACCATATCATAAGAGTTTTCTGAGAATCGTGCAAAAAGGCGAAATAGGCCTTCAGATTGTATCTCAATACTGATAATGGTTGGTTCCTTTTAAAGTCCAAACTTCCGAGTAGAGTATTACCCTGGGGTTTTTGAAAGGCCGACTATACGACTCGAGTCGGTAAATAACTTTTTGAAAGGACTCCGTTTTATCTCTTGCTCATAAGTGTGGCTAAGTCCTCAAAGAAAAAAACCGTCTGTAGATTCGTTTTAAATAATTCATCAGCTCTCTCAACCGAAGGATATCGAGATTCTAAATACAAAAGTTAAAACTAAGTTTTCTAGATGAATAATATTACCAAAAGAACGAAAAGGGTTTAAATTTACAAGTTTTGAAAGTTGGTGGTTGGTGAGTTCGTAAGTGAAGTATCTTTATTCCGTTGTACACTAAACCAAATCTATTCAAACCTCACTAGGATGAATAGAATATTAAAAAAAAAAGAATTGTTCGTTTACATGGAAAATATTATTTGGGCTACGAAAATTATCTCTTTATCTGGGAAATCTACAAAGTTGGGGGGAAAATCGCGGGAAATCAAGATAAGATGGACTACTCCAAAATGAAAATCCAATTTTAGCACAGTTTGATGAATGGATTTTTAATTACAATTTTTTCTGAGGTTCCTCTGACGTTGATGCATTGCTACTTTTCCGACTTTTGATTTTTATCTCGATTCAGTTTTTTTTTTTGCAAATTTTGAAAAATTGCATATTTAAAGCATTGGCCAGCCGGCTTACAAATATGCCTGATAATCAACTCCGAAGGAAAAAAAATAAGGAAAATCTAACTTAACAAAAAAAAGAAGGGAAAAAAGATTCATACGACTCTTTCAACGCTTTCACTCGCATTCCTCGTTGTCGTATTTTTTTCTCTTTTTTTGGCGCGAAAAATGGAATGCTCTCAATAAATAAATAAATATATAAATATATAAATAATGTGGTCATGTTCAATCTAAATATTTTAGTCGAGATAAAGAACTCTTGATTGTTGGATTACGATTTTAAACAAAGTTGAAAATCTAAGTACAGAGTGAGTTCTGTGGTTCTGATAAACAGACTGACAATGATCTTAAAATATCAGTTTGAATATCAAGGTTTTCTTTCTTAAAAACTGCGTAAAAAACTTTAAGCACAGAAGTCAGATCGCGGGCTGATTTGATCGAACGAACGAAGGCTGCAAGGCGGTATTTGATACAATCTGTTTGCTTTGAGAAGATGAAATAAGATGAAAATATTGATGTAATTAAAATGATAAAAAAAAGTATATAAAAAAGATTTCAGCTAGAAGAGGACTCTCTTCCTTTTCCTATTTCACGTGAGCCCGCGATACATCTGGTGTCTGTACGGTAGCTATGTGTTTCTAAGGTTTGTAAATGATGATTTTAAGAAAGAACGAACAGGAACAAAATGAAACAATATGTCCTTTAAGCGCAACTGTAGGGCAGGAAAGAAGATGAATATGGTTGTAGGGCGTGGAGGGCATGATGAACATTGTTGAATCTTTTTGTTAATATTTAAACTTATGTACTTATGTTCATCAGTAGATTATGATTATTAATAGATATTAAGAGGGATGATGATTGAGACGGTTAGAGGGAACAGAGATTATGAAGATACCATGATAAGACAAATATAGTGATGAACGACAAAGACGTAACTGACAGTCCACGACACAATCGCCGCTGAGTGTGAGTGATCGAGACACACAGACATACAGTTAAGACAGACAGACAGCCAGTTGCACCATTACACTCACTTGCAATACATGGGAATGGGAATGAACAAGTGCCACAGACACCTATACTACCTCGGGAAAATCTAGAGTGACTGCCGAAACTGACACACAGACAGACAGGAGAAGTACAGAAAGATAAACACTTACTCCATGGACACGGCATGCACATCAAGCAAAGACACACACACTTATCTGTTACGCAGACAGATAAGAGAAGCAAGGACAGACACACACTTACTCCATTGACACGGCATGCACATCTCAATAACTCGACAGAGTTTACATTACTGAAACTCCACCAGGACATTCACACATAACAGTTACACAGACATATAGCAAGGACAGACACACACCCACCCTATGGTCACACAGGGTTCACACCACTCATAAACTCCACACCGATAGGCACACACATTCAAAAAGATAAGAGAAGCGAGGACAGACACACCCATCTTTAAGGACACACAATAAAAGCTTGGACCGGCTTTATGCGACTAAAGACAGATAATAAAGAATGGGAAATTCAAAACAAGAACAGACTACAAGTTCTTTACTAATGAGATGAAGACAAACTGATAAGCCTTATAAGCACAGTGAAGTCTTTTATGTACCATCAGAGTATGTATATATATTTACTGATTTCTGTTTTCCGGATGAAAATAGACACACGATTCCCCAAGACATGTCTATCCCGGATTCCCCGTTCCTATCGCATTGCACACCTTACAAGGAACTAAAGATGCGTTCGAGGTAACTGTACTAACAAGTCATCTACATTTTATACAACATTTTTAAAACCTTTCTTGATAACTGTTCAACTAATAAGGACGTTTGTGTCAGAGATCACAAGACGTGAAAATACAAGGCGATAATTAACAAGTACTTAGTTAGAAAATAAAAGACTTTATTCGACCATTAGCAACGAAATCAAACTATCAAACAATCAAACATTACAGGGCTTTTGTATTACTAACCAAAAAAAGCTATAAAATAAGAATAGAAATATCGAATATAATGTTAATTGTAAGCCATAGTTTTTAACTTTAACTTAATTTTTTAGGTGTTCTCGCATTTTTAAATTGTAAAATAATTAAAAAAAATTTTTTTAAACGAATAAAAGAACAATTGCTTCGGCGTAAATAAGCAATATCTGGGAAGAGATCACTCTGTGATTCAAACTAATCGTACGCATTTTCGGTTGACAAATTACGAGGAAATAGCCAAGTTTAGTATTCATTCATCGTAGACGGTATCTCTGCTTTGTTAATAATGTCTTGGAGTACATGCTGACTAATATTGGGCGTGGAATGTTTTCACTGAAGCATTCTGTTTATCTCAAGCTTAAGTTGAAACCTTTTTTTACCACACACATACACACAAGAGAATGAAAGAAAGACGGATTGAATATATTTACGTTTTTTAAGGGGGTCGCCATAAGGACGGTTTAGAGTTTGTGGTAGTTCACTGCCGTCCATTCATGATCAATGTTATTTGCATCACTAAAAGCAGTTGATCCGAAGTCTTTTTGACAGAATTGTACGACTTTAGATCTCAGTAAAGATTGGAATAAAAAAGCACAGTCATAAAACGTAGCCAAGAACGTACATATCTGATGAAATCTAGAAGAACAATATAGATAAATGTGTGCTAAAGATTAGAGTACGACACAAAATGGTTCATAAAGTTGGCTAAATGCAAAATTAAGCTTACAAGGCACCGCCTTTCGAGGGACAGTCAAAAAATTTATCTTATTTTTGATCAGTTTCCGCATCAAATGGCACTAAGATGCGCTAAGTTTAAAAGCCAGGATAAATGATAAGAACCGAACGGCTGTTCTTTCATTGCTTCGTGTATTTTCGAGATGCTGTACGAGACGTTCATTTCTCGTGGTACGAAAACTCCAGGTGAAGACCATTCTTCAAATGATTTTCATCCATGTTATTCCTACATACGAGTACAGAATCTTATTCAATTTTTCTTGGAAAATTTAATTAGTTTTGAAAAAGTGAATTCTAAAGCTGTTTCTCACCTCTCAATTAAGAGCTTATAGACTTTAAGTCCCTTATACAACTGACAACTTTGACATCACAACAACTTGTCTAAATCATTCTCTAAGGTAGAGAACCAGTGAAATAGAATTCACTCTTTATAGCTATATATAGTCGTATATTTGGTTTGTTTAATCTTAGTACACGAATGCAGAACACACAGGAAGTAATGTCGATAATAGTTAAATCAATAAAACGAAAACGGATTAGCTTAGATTCTCAAATGAAAACAGTTGAATATCATCAAGTTTATATTTTTACTCAATGTGTGTTTAACATAGGTTTAAGCAAAATTTAAGTAAATATAAAACGATAAAAGTTATATGTACAATGAAAGTTTATACCTTAATTCATGATAAATGAGTTCAATTTTCAAAAGTGTAAAGAACTAACTACAGCGATCAGGAATAAAAGTACGACGTTGGAAACTGCCCTCCCTTCATCATTACATAATAATACGCTATTTAACTTCTTGCTCCAAAATTATCAAATCTAATAAAGTTTAAACATCCAAGACAATAGTTCTCTAAACATGAAAAATAAGTTGATCAAACCAGTAAAAATTATATAAGATTTTAAGAATAAAACAAAAATCAAACATAATTGGATTTAATTTCATATTATATTAATGAGCCAGAGAGTGTAATATGTTTATTTTGACATATTTTCCTCACTTTAAAAATCGTTGCGATAAATTCTTGTGAGATGCTTGGATAAAGATTTGTAGATGGGAAGCAGGGTAGATGGGAAGTGTAACAGTAAAGAAAGCTCTAGAACAGGGCATAAATATAAAATAGTTTAGAAAACTCAGGTTGTGATTAAAATGGAGGGAAACAAAGAATCCCTACCGTGTTAATCAACTAGAAAATAGATCAGTTTGTATCAGCCTTCAAAGAGAATAACATAATCAAAAACGAATATCTTATGCATGATGAGAAGAGCGTATCGAATAGGGACAGATTGGATACAAATGGCTTTTGGACTTAAGGGAACGAAACCCTACACAATTGGACTTTAAGCTCGTCTTCTAATAGTTGAAATAGCTTGAAATAAAACCACTGTTTGACCCTTGAAACAATAAAGAATAAATCTTATATCGTAGTTTTTAATGTTTGTGTCTTTTTGATTCTACTTTGACGGTTCTAGAACTCTTCGAGAGTGACAATGTGTAGAACAGGTGACAATGGAGAATTTTCTATTGTTTTCTCTCAGCTAATGTTGATTATTTCAGGCTTTAAAAAACTATTGTCCGATAATACTCAGTTCTACTTATTACAATACACCTGAGGATATAACAGAGCCAACTGTATTTTATGTCCTTATTGAAATAAAGTATTATTGAAATTATGACGAACAACAGGCCTCGGTAGTAGTGGCTATTCGTGTCAAGTTCTTTCACAAGATTTTCTTTAAAATCTTAATCTGTTTTTTAATCTGTTAATTATTCAAATGTTACTATTCTTTCTCCCTTGGATAGTCTAAGAAATAGTTTAATCTATCCTTTCCTCTCTTTCTCTGTATTTTAGGTTAAATATTAATGTCCACATGCTTTCTATATTGGAGCTGGGTACACAAGAACGGCGAAGGAATTGATTTTATGGTCCCTTATTTCCGGTAACAATGTATAGTCTTTTCTATCAAACAAGAAGAAGAAGAAGAAAAAAAAAATATGATGGGAAAGCTGCACCGGTACTTTACATTATCGTTACTAAAAAAAATCTATTGATTTCAAACTTTTTTTAAATGAAGAAATAGATAAAGAGAGAGATTCGGAGAGGAAACAACAGAACTAGGTGAAGTGTTTTACAAAAACACAAAGACTTATAACGGTTTTTCGGCAACGAACAAAACAGTTCACAAATCCCCATCATCGCCCAGTAGGCGAAATTTGTGAATTATTTATTCCAGGCCAGGGCATTTTATTGACGAAATTAGCTCAGGTTTACTACTGTGCTACGATAAATCTCTTTGGTGCAATCTTGTAATGAACCTAGAGAAAAATGAACAAAGATCGCAGTGGAAATTCCGCGCGGGAGATCGATCAATCTTTATGTTCTTTTCTCAATAAGTATAGATTAAAAGTCGTTCCTTACAAGCGATACACCCTGAGACAGATAATCATTAAGATACATATAAACATCTTGAAACAAAAGTAATATACAGAGTGACAATATTTATGTCGGTTATTGGCGGGCGAAGAGATCAATGAAAGACGACGACACGTGCAAAAGTGTTCTTTTGAAGACCAAGAGATTAAGTGAGAAAAAGATTCAATGAATCATAATACAATCGTAATATAGTAATGAATAATATCAACACCCTTGTGGATGATTGAGAGGAAAAGAAGACATTATAAAGAACAGCCATGTGGGGTTTAATAAGACGACACCTATTCCAGGCGACCCTTAATGAAAGATAGATTGGCGGATTGGAATAAGAGTGAGTAGCTTACTCGGACCCTTAGCAAAACGTCGGCAAACAATGAAAAAGAAAGTTGTTGTCCCGCGCGCTGTCAGCACAAAATAAATGACTTGAGGACGGCATACAGGGACACTACTAAGATCAAAGCCTTTTTATCTTCAGAAGTATTTTTTTCTAAGTCATTGTCAGTTGTCGATAACTGGTGATTGTTTTACTCGTGTGCGTGTGTGTGGGTGCCTTGTTGGCAGCGTGGGATAAAAAACGGACCTCGTCACTGCATACTTTTGTTCTTCAAGTGTAATGTGCTTTGTGTGCTTTTGCTTCTATTGAAATCGTATTTGATTGTTTCTGGATGTAGCAAGATTATTTTGGTAGCAGATGATGGCGGAGGCGTACGCGGAAATCCGAGTTACGGCATGTAACTGTTCACTTTCCTGGAGCGAGAGAAAAATTCTAACTATAAGAATCTGATGGACACACTGTTCCTTGTAATGCTTCCTTTTTATCTGTACTTAATCACTCATTCAGTATTATCATTATAACCATAAACTAAAGACTATGTCAGTGTAACCCAGTTGGCTTAAATCTGGCAGTACTTTAACAAACTGCTTAACAATTCCCGAATAATCTCATAAGCTTATAGATCTATCTATAAACATTCAGTTGAGTAAACGTAACCATTCATTTGACTAGTGAAATTTTAACTTTGGTTTCAACGGATTTTTGGGATATCATAAAGATAAAGATTTGAGATAATCAGCAAAAATGATAGTAGTATTACTATCATCAATAACTGACACTGAAAAATGGCTCTTGGGTTTTAGTCACTTGAACTATCATTATTCATGTTGTTATCAGAAAGAACTTTGACTGTTCAGTATTCTTGATGCGGCTTTCTTTTTTATTTTTTATCCTGTTTATATTTTCAGCCTTCTTCTTCTTCTTCTTCTTCTTCTCTTTCCTTTTCTTCTTCTTCTTCTTCTTCTTTTTCCTTTTTCTTTTCCTTTTCTTTTTCTTTTCCTTCCCCCCTTCTTATAAATTAAACAAAGGCGATACTAAAAGTACTTGATAAAAGTTATTTTATCCTACAAGTTACCCAATTTCTTTTCTCTTCTCGGCTTCGTAGGCCAGCAGCCAGCAAACAGGCCGCGAAATTCCCTACTGTCCCACACTCTTGTCTACTTATTCTCTTACTCTTAAATAACAACAAAAATGTCTTAATGACAAATAACGATTGTGAACTTGTCATTAATCTGCCATTTTAACTAATTAGTAAGCTTGATACTGTAAATGAATGAGTGGTGTCTCATATCCGTTACGTCGCTGGTCAGTTTCTTTAGCCATCAAAAGCGCCAACAAAGATTTGCATTTTAACAAGCAAATTATTGAAGTTTGTTTGCAGTTTTATAAGCAATGCGATTATATTCTCATGAAATATATACACTGTAATAGTGAGTTCAATTTTTAATCTTGGCTCTTCGCCTTAGGGGAAAAACACTCGATACCATCTTCTCCAAAGCAATTTACTCCAAATCGGAAATCCTTTCTTCACCCTTTTTGTAAAAAGACATTGTATAATAACTTCAGCGTGGAACTAACTATGTTTATAAGAACATAATATTTAGTAAACTTGTTCACTCGTTCCGGGCAAATGAAAGTCATTTGACAATTCTACGTCAAATTAACAATGCGACTAGTTTACTATTCGCAGCTGTCAGAGTCCGTTCTTGACTGAGCGAAACACGACGACTGCTTAATTACTCAGTACACATGCCTTAAGCCTGCTCCTATTCCATGGACTGGCTTTTGAGTACTTCATTGACTCGACTAATATATCATTTCTTTGGGAATATGAGCCACGATATTGTTAAGCGTGGAATACTTAGTACAAGAGCATATGGGGCGGCAGTATATCACGCCACATTTAATAAAGCCAGGGCTCTTTCCGACTCAAATTATCGCATATTTCCTGTTCATTTGCACTGATCAATTTAAGCTGAGAAGTACGCTCGTTTTCCAACACCAATCATAAATTTAAGCGGCAAAAATCAATAAATACGGCTTTTTGATTCGCACGATATTGACAGACCGCAAGTATTATATGAATAAGGAAACTAATGTTTGAGTTCGCACACCTTTTTACAATGTAGATGTCTTAATGATGTTAACCATTGGCAAATAAAATTATATTGACTAAAAACAAAATATAGGAAAAGTATGTTTTGGGTATTTTCTTGGAAAAGAGAGACATGAAGTCTAGAGTGTACGTCGAAGAGACGCTCATCAAATAAACTTCTATAACATTGTCTTTTGTCTCCGCGGATATCTGATACTCTCTCACAAAGGACTATTATGTCACGTTTTGTTGGTAGAAATCATTGATATATATAATCAAGTGTAGATGAAAAAAGAAAGATTAAAATTGATATACGGAATACAAAAAGACAGCCAGCTAAAGAAAGAAACATTTTGGTCACATCTGCGCGCGTCGAAACACATTCTAGCATACATTCGTGCTGAATGAAGAAAACGAACCTAATATTCCATCTTTAAATGAATATTGATTTTTTTCGTTAATATAGTTGAGAGATAAACTACATTACCGACAAAATATTCCACAATTCATTTCCGCAGAGTCTACACGTTGCCTAAAGTACTAAAGCTTCTACTGTTTATCTTCTGTTTATCGTCGAAAATTTAGTTAAACGATTCTATCTCCTGTATTTAGCGAGCATTTGGACGTAACACAATGGTGTCCGTATTACACAGTGTTGGTCGCTGTTTTTTGTCTGCCTTCAGTTTACGGTTCATGTTTTGAACAACGGAAATTTGATTTAAGAGTTTTAAATTTGGGTTCGGAATTTAAGGGTTTGGTATTCATTGCCCATTTTCCATTCCATCTTTATTGTTTTGTTTTATCATTACAAGTTTTCTTATCTTAATATATTTCAGAATGGAAGAGGAGGAGGAAGATGATTATTATTGTTATTATTTATTTATTATTATTTATTTTCCCATAAATCATTAAATTTTAGTGACGGAAACAACGCAATGAAAAGGGAAAAACAAAATTCTATGAAGTAGCTTCTTAATTCCCCTCAAACCCCCCCCCCCCCCCCCCCCCCCAAACAAAATACTAAAACTTCATATTTTAACGATCCCTCTGATCAAAGTCAGGGCACGGCTAACTCACAAATCGAATTAGAATTTAGCGGTTGTAGGTTTTGTGGAGGGAGGAAAACCCGGGATCCCGAAGAAAACTACCATCGGTTGAATCAAGGGAGAGACCTAACAATTTCTAATCACATGTGATGTCGAGTCCAGGAATTGAACGCGAGACCACAGCACTACCACTACACCACCCTTTGATTCTGAACCCTGCCAACAAGTTTCGTAAATACAAATAGTGTAACTGTTATGTACATATACCAAGAATGCGTACGTGTATAATATTGGCAGACTTGAGAGTACTATAGTCAGTGTTGTATTGACCGGAAGCAAGCATTGGCTGGATCCTCCTTCTTGCGTTCATGACTGGCCAAGATAGGGCGTGTAGGAAAGGTTCCATCTCGCATGTCAATACTTTAATAAAGTCATATCCCATTGTAAACAGGGAAACAAGACCCCAAGTGGACTGAACATTGCAGTATCATGAATCTGTTCAGGCTCTATAGTTAGTCCCATCATATAATTCGCCAACAACCATAGAGACACTACTTACCCAGAACTACCCACATTCCTAGACCCAGGCTCTACTACGGGCACAAAGTGAACAAGAACCAAATCTATGTTCCCAGTCTTAGACCAAATACATCCCTACCCTTATGATTGCACAGAGATCCTAGAGCCATATTCCCAATCACGACCAAACCTTTACTTCTAACTGAGGTACGCTCACGATGGCACATGCATGAACGACTACTGACACATTGACATTCACTCATGTATGTACTCACAAACCTACCACACCAATCCTACAACGTTCAAAAATCAAAAATACAACTAAACTAACACTCACTCAAATGCACATACACACATAAACATACCACTCATGGACTACACTTTGTCCCTACCAATGAAACTGTCAGTCACATCCACACATAAACCACTAACCAAACATTACTGTCAACTACACTCACAACCGCAATAAACTAACCAAAATAATTATATTAAACCCATCTACAGCTATAATTACAACTACTGACACCGACACACTAAACATGCGCCTACACTCGCCTGCTACTACAATCACACACCAACATCTAAGTATAATAATAATGATAAACTTTATTTACTTTTTTACTTTATCTACTTAAAGCTACGTATAAACTCTCTACAAGAGAAGAGGACACCACACAAAACATAGATCTACACTCACAACCACGATCACACACTAACACCTACTTAAAACTACTCTCTCCGCCAGAGGACACAACAAACATGTATCTATACACTTAAAGCCACAAGGACACACTATAACACCTACTTAAAACTACACTCTCCACCAGAGGACATACCAAACATGTATCTACACTTAAAGCCACAACAACACACTATAACACCTACTTAAAACTACACTCTCCGCCAGAGGACACACCAAACATGTATCTACGCTTAAAGCCACAACAACACACTATAACACCTACTTAAAACTACACTCTCCGCCTGAGGACACACCAAACATGTACCTACACTTAAAGCCACAACGACACACTATATCACCTACTGAAAACTACACTCTCCACCACACGACACCTTGACATAAAAACTACTACTCTCTCAAGCACGCGACCCACCAAATATGCGTTTACACTTAAAGCCACAATCACACAACAACACCTTCTAGCAACCTACTAACAATTTCATTTTCAACCACACCCACTCACTAAACATTTGATTGCCCACAACCACAACACATCACAAGTCAAAACCTACACCCACTTCCACACCCCAAAACCAAACTCTATATATTACCCAGAATACACACTTGACAAGTGTGTTTAATGACGTTTCCGCCCACAGAAGCAACAGACAGCTACGGATTCAACAGTTTGGACGTCCAAGCTTGCCATTCTTTAAAAGATGATCTTTCTCAGTTCAGTACTCGACAATCACAGTTTCCCAATGTAACTATAATCGATCGAACCATTGACCCGTAAAGATTCCTGGAAAGGGTTTTGTAGTGTACCGGTTTCCGAGTAATTTTGCTCTTATGTTTGCTCTCATGGGAAAGCCTTGACAAAATATAGTTAGCTGCGTCAATGTCTTTCCATGTAACTCACACCTCATTTTCTTTTGTATTATTCCGTCATAACCTTTGTCTCGTTGCCCCGGCAAAGTCCCTTATCTCGTTACCCAAGGGAATTCCTTGTCTCATGTCCAGGGAAGTCCCTTATCTAGTGTCCCAAGGGTGTCCCTTGTATCTTGTGCCAAAGAAGGCCCATGTACCATGCCCATTATGGACAAGACGTCCCTTGTCTCATATACCAGGGGAGTCCCTTTTCTTTTGTACCAGGGAAGTCCCTCTTCTTGTTAAGTCCCTCAGAACAGGTCCTTGTCTCGTATCCTATGAATCAGCACCATAATTCCACTTCGGGAGCTTTCAAAACTTTCCTTTTTCTGCAAAATGGAAAAGAAAATAAGAACATTCAGGTTCTCATTGATTATTTTTCCAATTAGAATACATTGCAATTGATCATGATGTCAAATAAATCATCCAGAATTTGTTAATCATGCATTTAATATACATTAGAAACATTTCCCGCCTTTTCAAATACTAGTTACGAAGAAAACTTGGATTCGGCCAAATGCATGATTTCGTCACCTACGTTCAGTAATAAACCAAAGCTTATGAAAGATAAGTCAACGAAACTCTCAAAATGTATGAAAGACATTAACCGCGACATTTCATTGCAAAAGCTGTGACAACAAAGCTGCCTTGCCAAAAGAACAATATTTGCTACATTTTTCCCCAGCTGAATTAACACTAAAAGGTTTCTTATTTTCTTGCGGCTTTGATACAACTGTGATCATTCCCAGTTAATGACTGTGGGGTAAGAATGGCTCCTGTCCAGGTTAAAGCAGTTAACCTTCTACAAGCTTTATTTTTAATTATTTTGTTCGATGAGCTTTTTGCCGAGCAAGATCAAAAACTGAGGATTAATGTCTTAAAACCAGGTAAATCTCGATGTTTCTTTTTTCAACCAATAAATACCAAATCACAGACCTCTTTTTTAAGCTTGTGTTCGTGAATCCAAATTTGACTGTCATAAAGCCTAAAAGGACACATTTGAACATCAAGAAACAAATTTTATACTTCAACATGCAAAAAATTAGAACCGTTAGAGAAGAATGGCTGATTGTCTTTTCCACTCCTCCCAATTGTCCTTGCTTTCTTTGCGTTAATTAAGCTTTTTAGTAATTCAGAATATAATAATTTCAAACATGTAGTCAATATTTTAAATTTCTCTTAATAACGCGACAGATATTGATAACAGGATGTCCACTGAACGGTATAGCAATAATACCAACTTTGTATGTAGAGGATAACACTTGACAGTAATTCAACTGATAAACTCGTGGTCCTCTTTCATCTTCTCTAGTTGATTAGGGACGGGACCGCCTTTAACGTGGTCATCCGAGCCACTTGAAGGTCTAACCATTTGTAGATGTACTTAATTACAAATGCAGCACCTTCTCTCCATCTATTTTAATGCCCTGAGTGTTAGTCCAGTCCAGACTATCTTATCGACCAATTGAGCTTGTCGGGCCGAGTGTGGAGGCAATACATTCAAAAAATATCATCCTGTAATGAGAAGTCGGTCGCACTGAGAATTATGTTTGCCAACAGCTATGGGCAATGATGGCTCGATCAGCATAAAACATAAACCCTGTTTTGCATGGTGAACGTGTTTAGTGCCGTGTAATTAAATGCATTTTTTTGCTTCCCCGCAGCAAATCTTGGCTGAGTGGGGTCACCAAATATTAAGGTATCTTTGAGGGTTTTCCTTTGTTCTGTACAGTTTTCCTCAATTCCAAAACTAAGATAGCAAATCAAATTGAACGAACAAACTTCTTAATGGAGGCGTCGTTCACTCGAAGATCTCTTCACTCCCACTTTGGTAAACATTTAACAACGAATACTTGAATACAAACACTCAGTCACGCTATTTTACACTTTAGGGAAACGAAGAACGATAGCAGAAAAACAAATAAACGAGCAAAGAAATAAAAAGACAAAAAAGTGAAAAAGTGAAAGATCGAAATTAATATTATATCGATAAATTAGGAGTTCATGTTTATCGTTTTTTTCCTGCTAAATAAACATTGGAGTTCCTAATGTACAAGTTTCGGTCTAAAAAGCCATGTGTAAATAATGCAATATAGAAAAATTAAAGAAAATTGAAAATTGAAAATGTTTTAACCTGAAATTTAATGCTGATTTCAAAAATGCAAAGAAAAAGGGGATGTCCAGAGCTCGCTTTTGAGATAATCACTCCGGAATGACATGCGTTTGTACGATTTTGGAAGAAAGATAGCGAAAATCAAGCTCTATATAAAGAAAATCATAAAACCGAAACTAAGAAAGAAACATGAGTAATTTTCTCCGAACACGTAACTTACACTATATTTATAAAATACTGATAAAAGTTGTTTCAATAAACTATTGTAGACAATGGAAAAACGTTTTTTGTACAGGTTCTACGGTGTGCAAGTTATCGTAAAAATTGAGCACAAACAAACAGAACGATTTTTTTACATTGTTCTGATAAACAGAATTGTCTTAAACTTTGAAAAATAATGGAATATTACCTGTTATTCTGGAAAATACCAAAAATATAGACTACCGTGCAAAATTTGAGGGTTTTGCCCTCTTGAAGTTAAAAACCTGTATGGTTATTCAATAAAAGCGTAAAGATTATTCATCGGTTTTGAGCGTGCGCACAGAAGTCAGCCACCTTAAACAAAGTTTAAAGAAACTGCGCGCACCGCAAAAAACCCTTTTGCCGCATTGGAATATGCCGATAAGTAACCATACATTTGTTTAAATTTCAGAGTTCAAGAGTGACCCAGAGGGCTTACTTCTTCATAGAGACCAAGCAAACAACTTTCGTGAAAGTCATGGCAGGAGAAGGCGTGATCTGTGGGAGGAATGTTATGATGAAGGATGCTCTAAAGAGGAAGTCGAAGAGGTGGTCAGCGGTCATGCCTTGGTAAGATAAGCCTGACGCAAATAACGTGCACAATTTACCTTTTATTTAGTCTCAGTAGGTAGGCCCTTGTCTCTTGTCAGAAGGAAGGCCTTTGCCTCTTGTTCCAGGGAAAGCCCTTGTCCCTTGTCTCTTGTCTTAAGAATGCTCTTGTTTCTTGTCCCAGGGAAGGCCTTTGCCTCTTGACCCAGGGAAGGCCCTCGTCTCTTGTCCCAAAGAAGGCCCTTGTCTCTTGTCCCAAGAAAGGTCCTTGTCTATTGTCCCAGGAGAGATCTTCAATCTCTACTCAAATATACCCAAAGTATCCCTGCGACTCACATTCGATACACTGATACTTTATTATATTTTTGGCATACAGCATCAGTACTATTACGGATGGCGATGTATGAAACTGTATGGAAGTGACTGGACCTACAGTGGAAACCCTAGTACTCTACAGTGTAGCAATATTCTCAGTAAGTGACCAATAGTAGCGCTCCCAATCACGTGTTAATTCCTTGATCCTTTGAGTAGTGTTTTTGTTTAGCAGTCACTCTTGCATGAGAAGATACATCAGTGGAAAACAAAGAATTTCATTTTGAAGTTCATGATATGTCCCTGGGGACCTCTCGCTCCAGTGCCTCACGGTCGTAAATTTCATCCGAGAAGCACTGGAAAGAGAGAGTCTCTGGAACCCAGGGAAATGACATAAAGTTTGCATGAAGTTTGAAAAACGCTATTAGATCTGCGGTAATAGCGCTGTATGGTAACGTTAACATGTCCAAGATGATCTCACGATATTTGACTGGTTTGTTATTTTGAACTTTCACCCTTCGGTGCCCAATAAGGTTTACACATTTACGCCCAATACGCTTAAGGTTTTGGGTATAAATTTAGAAGTTGCTGGCTTTGTTGTAAAAACATTTCACTGTAACTCAATAATCTTCTTGCAAAACATTCTGGAAGAAAACATTCTGGAAGAAAACAAATAAGATGACAGTTTTTCTCAACTAGCTGAGTGGTGAACGCAGCGCGCAAAGCATGAGTGGACAAAATGACCGTCCCTAAGCATTTTTGGAGCTTAAAAGAACGAAGCAAATGCGGCGCTAAAGTGAAATTGTTTTTATTCTTCCTTTCCATATTTCTGCTTCTTGTGGGCACGTATGTTATATTTTAGCAAAATGAAAACAGAAAAATACGTAAAAGTTTGGTTACAGTAGTCTGTTAATGAGGACCGGCGGCAAAACAGCTAAACGCGCTGTGATTGGCTCAAACAAAATTAACCCGCTCAGCTGGAATATATTTGTGTCATTTCTTTTGTATTTTCCCCTTACATCCATGATAATTTGCAAAGGGGTACTATATCGGCTTATAGAAATATTACTCTGAAAACTCATTTTTCCTCAACTTTCCCTTACAGGGGATGTAAAAGTATGTGTAAATAGTAGAACTGGAGTCGGTAGAAGCCAGTCTCGTAACTGTTATTTCGGAAGCGCAAAGAATGTCTACGCTGTCTACATGGAGAATGGCTGTAATGACGGAAAGATGGGTAACTGGAAACTTACTTTCAATGACCCTTCGAACTCTGTCAGGTGAGCTTATCTGATACTAATTGGTGGGTAGACAGGAACATTGCTTGCGCATGCGCGCATTCGAAATTCCTAACAAAATTACGGCTTCTGTCGGATACCCAGTCTCTAGATTTCCCTGGATTCACATATGACAATAACGGAACGCCAGACAAAATCAAATCTACCGCAAATATATCTGACACTATAATCATCTTTGTTAATCTTAACCAAAAAACATAGACTATGGTCCTTCCATTTGGGTGTTTTTAACAACGTTTTTAAATCTACCCATTTTTCAAAAAGGTCCAATCAGGTCAATTCTAACATAAGACCAAAAAAGGTCAATTCTGTCCAAAACGATACTATAGCCAACGCTTTTGATCGGTTTTGGATGTTTTTCATATCTTTTCAAAATCATGCTTCATTCTTTTAATAGATTTATGTTTGTTTTTTTAACAACTTTTATTTAAAAAAATGCATTTTTGCAACTGGCAAAAACAATAGACTAAAGCCCATGGTTTTGATCGAATTTGGGTGTTTTTCACACCTTTTTTTAAATTATGCATTTTTATGAAATGGTCCGAAATATGTCATTTTTGGCCTAAAAGCATGGACTATAGCCCATGTTTTTGATCGAATTTGGGTGTTTTTCACACCTTTTTTTAAATTATGCATTTTTATGAAATGGTCCAAAATAGGTCATTTTTGGCCAAAAAGCATGGACTATAGCCCATGGTTTTGATCGAATTTGGTTGTTTTTCACACCTTTTTATGAATTATGCATTTTTATGAAAAGGTCCAAAATAGGTCATTTTTGGCCAAAAAGCATGGACTATAGCCCATGGTTT